ATTCCAGCAACTCAGGAGGCTAAGAGAGGAGGATTGTAAATTCAAGGCCAGGTTCAGCAATTTAGGGAAATTCTGTCTCAAAAAATAAATAAAATAAAAAGGGCTGGGGAGTCTTAGACTCTGTCTCAAATAAATAAGTAAATGAATAAATAAATAAGGCTAGAGATGTAACTTGGTAAAGTACCCCTGGGTTCAATCCCCAGTAACACATGCACACACTAAAGGAGATGAAGGAATGGACATGATAAGGCAAGAATGAGATAGTATGAAAAATAACAGGAGGATTAGGAAAATATTCTGAAATACTTGGAACAGTTTGGCACAACAAAAATTTGTTCCACCTTCAAGACCAGTAGTATTGGGTTGAGATGTCCCGTGTAGAAAATTAAAAGGAATACTGATGACTTAAATGATTTTGGTTTAAAGAAAATGATTGAACACATCCATTGACTCCCTCCTAAAATCTTATCGAAATGATTGGGAAAGGATTTAAAAATTAAAATTGCATAAATTTATAAAGAATTAGAGAAAAATAGAAGAGCATCAACAAAGTTTTAGAAGTTGGAATCAGGATGGCATTGAAGTTCTCAGCAATAATATCAGAAACATGTAGACAGTGAAACAGTCCTTTCAAAATTTTTGGAAAAGTAATTTCTAAACTAAAACTCTATTCCCATCCCAAATTATCATTAAGTGCCAGGGGAAAATGTAGACAATTTTCAGACATACATGTTCTCAAAAATTTTACCCACTACTTTTCCCTTCTCAGGAAGCTTTGTAAAACAAGGAGTAAACCTTTTACATACAAATACATAATTTTTAGAAACTAAGCAGTGTGATATTGGCTCAGAGGCAATTAATAAGATCAGTGAAACAGTATAAAGGGTCTAGAATCAGACTCTAGAATTAGGTGTTCTGGCTTTATGTTTTCAGGTAGGAGAAAGGATTTCTTCAATATTATAACATTCATAGAGAAAAAAATTAACCAATATGAATACCAAACTTTAAAATTTTTGTTAGAATAAAGGATACCATAAACAGGTTACAATAAACTAGTAGTAGAAAGAAGGTATTAGAAATAAACTTAACATATAAAGAAGTAAATCTCAGAATATGTAAAAAAACTACTATAAACCAATAAGTCTGAGACAAAACCCTGAACAAAAATAGCTAAAGCATAGAAATAGGCAATTCACAAAAGAGGAAATCTAAGTGGCCAAGAAACACTGTTTTCAGGGAAATAAAAATTAAAATAACAATGAGATACTATTTTACATGCAAAGATTAGCATAAGTTAAAATAGCATATTCATTGCAAGTATAAGATTTAAAATGGTGTACTCATAAGAATGTGGACAAACAAATTTTATGGAATATAAATTGATTAGCCACTTATTCAGGGCAAATTGAGACTAGTACATGGAGAATAAACTAGTAACAGTATGTAAAGTTCAAAATCTGCATACATTAAGGCCCAGGGAATCCAATTAAGCTATGTTTCCCTGGAGAAGCATGCACATACAAGACTGTTAACTGTCACATTGTTTGTAATATTGGAAAATAGTGAACAATTCATGTGACCACCTGTAGGAAAATGGACAATTACATATTCATACGATTTATTTGATATAGACAGCAGTTCAAATGAACACACTAGATCTAAATGTATAAATATGACTCAATTTCAAGTGAGTGGGGTAAAAAAAGTTGCAGAACTGTGAAAACTTTTGTCACATATCCCCAGTAGAGATCAATAAAGTGATACCTTTCTTTCTTGATTTTGTTCTCATACTGTAAGCAAGTGTCCTTTTCATCGTCTGGTTGGTGTCGTGTTTTTCACATTTTTGTGCTTTTCATTGTTGATTTTGTTACATAAAATGAGTGCTAAGTGTAATGCTGAAGTGCTATCTCATGCTTTTAAGTATAAGAAAGCCGTCTTGTGCCTTGTGTAGAAAATACATGTATGAGATAAGCTTCTTCAGGGCTGGGCAATGATACTGTTGGCCAAGAGCTCAATACTAATGAATCAATAATACAGTAAGCTAGGGATCTTTAAACAGAAACACACAAAACACGGTTATGTACTGATCTGTTGCTGAAAATGAGTAGAGGCTGGTAGGATCCTACCCCAGTGTTTCTCCTAGGAACAATGATTTAGTATTCACTAATTCAGTTTGCAGTAACTCTGTAAAACATAACTATCACTAAAAATGAGAATTGAATTTACTTTCATTGTACTTTATCTGAAATAAACTTTACGTATTTGCTTACTTAGACTTCAAAGCCAGGACCTTATCTGGTTTGGTTCCCTATCACATCCTTAGTGCCTGACATGATTGGCAAATTGTTATTAAATGAATGAATGGAAGGATGGATTAATAATAAGTAAGCAAACAAACATCTGTTGAACTTTTCCTTCTAGTTCTAAACTAGGTTATGAAAAGAAAATCTTGCCAGGCACAGTGGCACACTGCTGCAATCTCAGATACTTGGAAAGCTAAGGCAGGAGGATCTCAAGTTTGAGACCAGCCTCAGCAACTTATTGAGACCCTATCTCAAAATCAGAAGAAAAAAAAAGCAGAGAGGACTGGGGATATAGCTCAGTTGTAGAGGACCCCTGGGTTTAGTCCTGAGTACCATACACACGCACACAAAATAATAATAATAAAATTTGGAATTTAATTATTTCAGCACATGCCTGAAGCTGTACATATTTGAAAATGTAGGTTTAAAAATTTTTTTTATAATGGAAAATTTCAAACAAACATAAAAAAAGAGATAATGGTAAAATGAATCCTATTTATTTATTTTGGTATTGGGGATTGAACCAAGGGGCACTTAACCACTGAGCCTCATCCCTGGCCCTTTTTATTTTTTATTTGGAGATAGAGTCTCACTAAGTTGCTTAGGGCCTTACTAAATTGTTGTGATCCTCCTGCCTCAGCCTCCCAAGTCGCTGGGGTTGCAGGCATGCGCCACCTCCCCCAGTCTCATGTGTTTATTATATGAACTTTCTAGAAGAATCTAGTTTTAAAGAAGCTTTCTCCTGACTTATAGGATCAAATGCCTCAATAAGACTATCTTTGGGTAACTCCGGTCTGAGATGTTCAGAAACTCAAGTGTCCACCGGAGGGTAGCAGGTACTTACTGTTAGTCCCAGCCTCTTCTGTCCTGGAAATGGGGCTTCTAAGAGGCTGCCTTGAAGCTTAAAGAACATTGTCAGGTCATCTCCACCTCTACAAATAAAAAAGAGAAAGAAGTTCCTGGGATGGTGTCTGGAGCATGAGTCCTTTCAGGGTGTGGAAATCATAATTTATTCCATATTGCACTTTAGTTTTGTCACCATTTTCGTGACGTTTGGAGCCCCTGTTTGTTTTTTCAAGTCTTTAGCAACAAATCCCATGAAATCAAAAGAGTTTAAGAGCTTGTCTTTAAGAACATCAAAGAAAGCATGAACCACTCTTCTTTCTTTGTTGCTTAGAAGAGGATCAACCCCAAGAGTAGAGAGGGTGGTGGCCTCATTAGACAATAAGCCTCTGAGACTTGCTGCAGGGAAGGAACCTGGGCCAGCGCCAGAGCACTTGTAGGTCAGATTGGAGAAGCCCAAGTGGCCCTTGGAACAGAGTTGGATTCTCCTTTCCTCTTGCTGTCTCTGACTGTTACCTAACATGCTTCACTCCTGCCCTGTAGCTCATGACGGTGTGGTCACCATCTTTGCACTACATTTCAAGCAGACCTAAGACCTTGTCTCCAAACCCAAAGACTTTCCTCCTATATTCTTAGTTCATTTTCTCCTGTTTTAATAAGTAGCCTCACCAGGATTGGACACAGCTGACTTCTTAGGAATAGACTTCCTTGGAGAAGGTCACCCCCTTGCCACTTCTCCAGCTCTGAGGCACCCTTTCGGACTCCCTCTCCTCCTTTCCCCATGCCCTCACCTTTACATTCTTGTCCTTGTTCTTTTTTCTCCCTCCTGCTATGTGCAGTATACACGTGCATGCTCCAGCCATATTAAACTACGTTCTTGAGCCTGCTGTATCTCACCTAGGGGTGATTTTACATGCTTCCCCACTACTAGGATTCCCTCCAGTGTGCTCCCAAGCACTCTGGTTTTGTTTGTTTGTTCCCCCACCTGCCCTCTCATTATAGCATTGACTAAACTGTATTATCTGTTTCTTTGTGTTTCCTTTACTGGATTCTAAGTTTCTCAAGTCCCTCTCAAGGGAAGGGACTATTTGATTAGTATGTTTATCCAAAAGCTTGGGCAATTACTGACATAGAATCAACCTCCAGTAAGTTATTTTGTACAAGTGAAGGAGCAGAGCTGAATCTGGCCATCTCTGATTCTTTGCTTGAGGAGATTGGAAAGAAAATGTTCTGCAAGGAACCTGGAATTATGGACATTCAATAAATTGTGGCTATAGTGGCTGTTGTCATTCTTCAGTGAGTCTTGCTCATGACTGTTCTCTTTGGGGGGTTTAGTCATGCCTTGCACATAATAGACACCTAAGACAGGAGACTGAAATGAATATGTATTTAATAAATTAAATAAGGAGGATATATGATTGGTTAGTCTGTGTTTAATGTAAAATTATGACTATCTTGAGGACAAGTTTATTTTCTGTGGGACATAGATTTTTGACTTCTTTTTTCAGGCACAGATGCATTTTGTAATGGCTGTATTTTTGAGAGAATCCTAAGCTTTCTACTGTTTTGAAGATAACAACTTGTTGGACTTTACTTCTTTTTTTTTTTTTTAAATATATTGCCAAATGTCTGTCACCTGGAACTGGAAAGAATTTACTAAAATATTTAAAAATTAATTCTGACTACACATTTTGCTTTTATCTTAAAGGCATCATTTTAAAAAATCCCAGAATATGTATTTAACATAGGCTAGAATGCCTATGTTAATATTTGATCTGCATGACGAAAAACAAATAAGATATTTACAAACCGTACCTTGTTTTCTTTGTCCTTCACACCCTGTACCTGGAGCAGCATCTCATTTTCATCAGATTTGTTGAAAGAAGAAGAAAAAATGTCAGTGCTATATCCTGAAATCAAATTTGAGAATTCTAACGTCACCAGAAGTTCCCTGAACACTTATTTTCTTTTTGAGAGTAGTTGGAAGAAAGCAATTTTAGAAACCCAGAAGATGAGGAAAGGTAAATTTATTTTTATTGTTATTATACCAAAGGAAAAAAAATAGAAATAGTGCCTTGAATTTACCTGTTTTTGAAGCAGTCAAAAACACTTTATAATTTCTATGACATTTATATCATGAGTATTAATATGTTGTTCTTGGAAAAGAAAATGGAAGCAAATTAAAATGAATTAATGTAATTCTGTGACAGATCAATTTTATTTTTTATTTTTTGCTTTTTAAAAAATTTATATATGACAACAGAATGCATTACAATTCTTATTACATACATACAGCACAATTTTTCATATCTCTGGTTGTATATATAGTATATTCACAAAATTCCTGTCTTTATACCTTTACTTTGGATAATAATGATCATCCCATTCCACCATCATTAATTACCCCATGCCCCATCCCTTCCCCGACAGATCAATTTTAGAGAATTCTCTTAGCTGGGGTGTGGCGGTACATTCCTGTTATCCCAGCAACTTGGGAGGCTTAGGTAGGAGGATTGCAAGTTTGAGGCCAGTCTGGGCAACTTAGCAAGACCATATAAAACAAATAATAAAATGTCTGGGAATGACAGACATTTCAATGGTAGAGCACTTGCCTAATATGTATGAGGCCCTTAGTTCAATCCCAGTACCTCCAAAGAGAAAAAACAATGAAGAATTACTTCTCTTTATATTTAGTACATTACTCTCTCTGTTGGATCACACTAATTTTCATAAATAGTGTATCCTTTTAAATATCTCAAAATTTCTTTTTATATTTTAGAACACTCAATTTTTGTTTTGTTTTGTTTTTGGTTTTTTGCTTTGTACCAGGGATCAAACCCTGGGACACTTAACCACTGAGCCACATCCCCAGTCCTTTTTATTTCTTATTTTTAAACAAGTTTTCGCTAAGTTGCTTTGGGCCATACTAAGTTGCCCAGGCTAGTCTTTTTTTTTTTTTTTTTTAATTTTTTATTGTGGGTTGTTCAAAACATTACAAATTTCTTGACATATCATATTCCACACTTTGATTCTAGTGGGTTATGAACTCCCACCTTCACCCCATACACAGATTGCAGATTCACATCAGTTACACCAGGCTAGTCTTAAACTTGCAAATCCTCCTACCTAAGCCTCCCAAGTTGCTGGGATAACACTATGCCCAGCAGGACACCAAACTTTTAACAATGACTTTATGTGTCAGTAAATTCAACCAAAACTTTATTTTGAGTTTATTAAATGGAGACTATCTTATATTCTACAGTTGCTCAATAAAGACTAGTTTGAGAATGATTGACATATATATGAATAGCTTCCCCCCCCCTTACTTTTAAGTTACAACTGTTTTTTATTTATTCTGAACTCTGCCTTCAGCTTTATTGATGGACATAAAATTCTTGAAAATAGCGAAATTCAGACTACTCAATCCTTTCATCCCTTCTAGCTTTGAGTGTGTTGCTATACATACAAATATTTTTACAAGTTTCTCACCAGATTCCCATTAAAAATACTCAGAAAATACTTGCTTGACCACTCTCCTACCCCTCAATCTACTGTTGAAAAGTGAATCTGTATTACAGATTTTTAGTCAAAGTATTTTTTCCAAAAGAGGAAAAATCAAAGGTTGCAAAATGGCATTTTGAACATTCAATGGAATAACTTGTGTCTTAAATACTATGTTGCTGCTTGACTTGCTTAGTAGACACATTTACAAAAGCTTAAAGACCACCCAACTTTAAACTTTTTCATCTACCTTTTCCATTTAATGCCTTTGTTTTGAATTTTTAAAAATAATTTGACAATCTCTTTGTCCATTGATATGTGAGGTCAGCAGAAGCAGCAATCTGGATACTTGGTGCTGCTGTTTATATTTATAGATTTGTTATGAAATTTTTGCAGAGAAAATTAAAATCAATGCCTAAGAGAATTAATTCTTTTATCTCTCATTGCTAACTCAAATGATCATGTACTTCTACCTGTTAATTGTTTGTACAAAATCAGGAAAATGAAAAGATTCAAAGCTGTAGGTAATACCAGACTCTTGAAAGTGCCTTATTTAAATGTGATGCTAATATTCTGGCAGTTCTAATTAAATAAAATAATAAAAAATGTGGACAGTGAGTGGTACTAGAAGTTGAACCCCCGGTCTCCTACATGCTAGGCAAGTGCTATACCACTAAGCTATATTCCCCAGACCCTTTTATTTTGAGACAGGGTCTCACTAAATTGCCCAGACTGTCTGCAAACTTTCAATTATTGCGTTTCAGCCTCCCAAATCTCTGGGATTACGGGCATGCTCCACCATGCCCAGCTCTTACTCTAATTTTTACATATATGAATTCTATACTCTAATTCATGTGTATATATATATTTAATTGTTTATGGACCTTTATTTTATTCATTTATTTATATGCTGTGCTGAGACTTGAACCCAATGTCTCACACATGCTAGGCAAGCTCTCTACCACTGAGCCACAACCCCAGCCTTATCCTACTATTCTGTATACTCCATAGACAGGAATTGAAAGATATTTTCTTGGTAAAGATACTAGATAAATTACAGTTGCTTAACTTACTTAATGGCTGATTAGATATATTTTATTATGAATTAGAGTTTGTAGTAAAAGTAATATACTTTAACCAAGATGATTATGATAATATTTTACATCAGAATACCCCTCAGCATTTGGTCTGGAAGAGTTCAAAGAATGTGTCAAGATGCCATATTTACCAGTATTGCCAACATGCCAAAAGAGTGTAAGTTCAACTCCACTGGAGATTCATAGACAACTGCTACACACAGATGCCCAGATGCCTACAATCAGGTAGATCTTTGATAGGTAACTTTCTTTTGAGCAATAGTTATTCACAGTAATACTGTTCGATGTAGAGATTTTTTTTTTCTGACTTAGTGAATCTCTTTCTTGCCTACTGATTTTTTTTTTATCATAAAGGATTTATGCTTTAAAATCTAAACCATTTTATTCAGATTGACAAAAGACACTTTACTATGTTTTCAAGTGTAACATTGCCAGAAAGGATTAGGGACTTCCTTTGAAAAATCTTGAGTACCCTACCCTAGATCATGCCCATGAGAACATTGAAATACTTAGCAATAAAAAAAGCTAACTCTGAGTGCAGTGGTACACGCCTCTAATCCTAGTAGCTCAGGAGGCTGAGGCAGGAGGATCACAAGTTCAAAGCCAGACTCAGCAACGGCAAAGCACTAAGCAACTCAGTGAGACCCTGTCTCTAAATAAAATACAAAATAGGGCTGGGGATGTGGCTCAGTGGTCGAGTGCCCGAGTTTAATCCCCAGTACCAAAACAAAAAAACAAAACAAACAAACAAAACAAAACAAAAAAACAACCTAACTCAATAGTATTAACAGTCTTCTGTATCTTGAACATAGAACCTGTAATTCAATTTTAGAATGAGGTCTAGTGTGGCACATGACTGTAACCCCAGCAATTTCGGAGGGTGAGTCAGTAGTAGTTCAAGTTCGAGGCCAGCCTCAGCAAGTTTGTGAGACACTGTCTTAAGATAAAAAATAAAAAGGGCTGGGAATGGAACTCGGTGGTAAAGCAAACTGAGGTGAATCCCTAGTAACACACACACACACACACCAAAAAAAAAAGGTATTTATGGTATTATAAATTGCAACTTTTTAAATGGGAGGATTTATATTTTCATAGTATCTTCCAGAAATAATGAACTTTAAAGTAATCCAGTTATACATAGCACTGGTGTTTTAGAATATATTTCTTGAGTTTTCCAACTCTAATATTGTTGTTAGGGACTCTTGAAATAAATTGTGCTAATACAAATAGAAAACTAGAGCATGTTAAAAGTGAAAAGTTGTGATAATATTTATCTAAAATTAAGTAAGAGCTTTGGAGAAAAAAGGAAAATAATTATTTGATTATCTACCCATTCTAAAATGTCCATTTTTTACTGTTAGGCATTTTCTTCTATCTTCTTTAGTTTCATGGATTTATTTTAGTTTTGATTTTAGTGTACTTGCAATTCTTTATTTTGCCTTTTTAAATTTATTTAAAAAATAAATTCTTTATTTTGCCTTTTTAAAACTTAATGCATTATGTGTTTTTTCATATTACTGAATAATCTTCAAACAACATTATTGGCTACATTATATTCCATTGATATGTCCATGGTTTATCCATTTTGTTTGGTGCTGGGATTGAATCCAGGGACTCTTTACCACTAAGCTACATACCCAGATCTTTTAACTTTTTTTTTTTTTAATTTTGAAATAGGTCTTCACTAAGTTGCTTAGGGTCTCACTAAATTGCTGAAGGTGAACTTGCAATCCTCCTGCCTCAGCCTCCCCAGTCTCTGAGATTACAGTCATTTGCCACCATGCCCGGCTTGGTTTTTAAAATAATACCACAAGGAACAATAATCATACATACAACATTTCTCATCATTTTAAATATTATATGAAGATAGATTTTCAAGCCGTAAAAATATAAAAAACAAAACTACTCTTTCTGAAATAAGGTTAAAAGAAAAGAAGACAACCTTAGCAATGATGGAAGAGAAATAGTGAATTGTTAGCAGCAGGGTAGTTTGGTGTATTTACAAGAGGGAGGGTGGGATGCTTAGAGATGAGGCACCTTTTGATAATTTTTTTTTTTTTTTTTTTTTTGCCGTGCTGGGGATTGAACCCAGGGCCTTGTACATGTGTGGCAAGCACTCTACCAACTGAGCTCCATCCCCAGCCGCGTGAGGCACCTTTTGACACGCGAGCATAAAACCTATCAAGGACAGTCATTTTACCTCATTACCAAGAACCCAGTCCCTGACCTTTAACTTCTATCATTTCCATCTGTGGACACAATGCTCTGCCAGTGGCAACAGATTTTGTTCCAGTACAGACCAGTCTTGTTATGTTCCTTCATAACACAACACACAGTCATCTTAAAGGAGTGGTAATCCTGGAAAGTACCCCTGAACTAGCCCATTCTGTCTCTTTATTTAATTTCCATGTGATGTCAATTAACAAGTGGGTTCTGGGGTTAAAGGTGTAGCTCGAGAGCACATGCTTCACCATGTGCGAGGCCCTGGGTTCCCTCCCCAGCACCAAAAGTATTCTTAATTTTTTTTTTATGTGTGTGTGTTTTGTGGTATTGGGGAGGGAACTCCAGTCCTTGGACACGCTAGATAAGCACTCTATCATGGAGCTTTACCCCCAAGCCCCATTTCTAAACATTTTATGTTGACTCGAGTGTGAATTAATTTAAGCCAACGAAGGATGATCTGAAGACATTTTATTCATGTTATGACAAGCTTCCTTCCTATGTAAAGTGGAATTGTGGTGACTAAGTGACAGAATGTACACAAAGTGCTTGCCAAGCATAAATGTTAATTCTTACTCCTACTTCTGACATGTGTGTGTTCATTTTAGCTATTCTAGTGAGAACATGTCAAGTTGCCTACAAGTATTTTATTCTCCTCTGCACATCGCACAGCGTCCTGTGAAAGAACAATTTTGGCAAAGCAGGAAAGTACTCTTCTTAGTTTGTTTTGTGTACAACTCCTTACTCTCTTTTATTCTCCATATGTGAATATTTGAAATTAAATTTTTGATAAGAATTGAATGTTTTTTTCAAATTTCTTTAATGATGATTAGAAATTTTTGGTGACTCTCACAGCACACTCTGGAAATATAACTGAAAATGGTCATCCTAGAGGTGAAGAGTATTTAAAAGTCACTGCTGGCTTTTTTAAAATTCTAATTTGTTTCGCTCCTGACTTTTAATGTTTCATATAGCTATAAGAAGTTGAGAATTCTCATGACCCAGTATCTCATCCATAGCAGATTCAATCATGATGTATTTCCCCTAACAATCACTTATTATCTAGGCCGATTACAGCAGGAACAAAAGTTAAATATGACAGAATTCAGACTGCAGTGGCTGATAGGTAAGAAGTACACAAACAAGGAATAGTTGGCATCTGACACATCCAGATATCATGTTACTCTTGATTCTCCTCCTCTTAGTATTTCTTGTGTCATAACGACAAAGTGTTATAGTAAAGATTGTAGGCAAAGTTAGACATGGCACCCATCCACTGGTAAAATTTGCTAGGAAACCCAACACATTGGGTTGGTTCATATCTGCTTCTGATTGGATTAGTTATAATGGAAGGGGTCTCCTTTTTTAACATTTATTTAAGTTCCCTGTGATATCATTTAACAAAGGAGTTCTGGGGTTGGAGGTGTAGCTTAGTGGTTCAGCACATTCTTTGGCCCTGGGTCCGCCTCAACACTGCCCACCTCCCCACAACAGGAAAACCAGAAAACCAAAACAAGTGAGTTTTACTGAAAGTGTGTTATTGTATCCTTTAAAGTTTATATACATGTGACTTTATGATAATATATACTCTTTTAGGATAAAGAAGACAAAGGGTACATGTGCCATGGTACCACTTCAGGAGAAATCAAAAGGTAAACTGGCTCATCTTTTTTCCCACCAAATGTTTTGTTAGAGTGTCACTTACTTATCTTTTTTACTTCCTTTTTTATTATTATTTTTAATTGATTTGTCTTTGTTTTATTAATGCTCTTTTTAACGTTGTTTATTTATTTCATAAACTTAGAGGATCTTGAGTCCAGTATGCACATACATTTATAATCTCAGGACCCTAGGATAGGCCCTCACTTGGACCATGTAGTAGCCTGTAAACTGATCCTGTTTTGAGTTTCTGACCTTTGAAATCCTTTGACTTAAAGCCCTAACACCTTGATCTTTAATCACATTACTGCCTTCTTCAAAAAACAATAGCTTCTCATTACCTATAGACTTAAGTATGACTTTCTTAGTCTTTCATTGAACCCTTTACCAACTTCCCCTAACTTTCCATTCCAACCTTATCTTCTAATTTTATTTATTTATTTTTTTTTGTGAATCTTGTTTACCAAAGACATCTCACTACACCAACAGTTTGGGTTACAAAAAACTACTCTTTTTAGTTTTGGGTTTTTTTTGGTTTGGTACTGGGGATTGAACTGTGGATCACTTAGCTACATCCTCAGCCCTTTTTATTTTGAGACAGGCTTGAACTTCTGAGAATTTGTAATTGAATTTGTAATCCTCATGCGTAGTCTCCCAAGTAGCTGGGATTATAGGTATGTACCACTGCAGGAGTCTGGAATCAATTTATTCTGAAGTGCATAGTGACTAAGAGGGTTTACAGCGTTGTGATATATTTTTGCCATATTCAGAGGGACAGCTCATCCTCTGAAGCTTAAAAATTAGGCATTCTGAGGCTGGGGTTGTGGCTCAGCAGTTGAGTATTCGCCTAGCACTTGTGAGGCCCTGGATTCGATCCTCAGCACCGTATAAAGATAAATAAAATAAAGGTATTGTGTCCAGCTACAATTAAAAAATAAATATTAAAAAAATTAGGCATTCTCATCTCCCTGTTTTTGATTTGTTTGATCAGAATTTTATTTTTCAAAAATAGACACTGGAAAATCTGTTCTCTCAGATTTGTCATGATGTGTTCAAGATTGTAAAGAACTTCCTAGAAGTATACTTATGCTTCATTCCTTCCTTTTATATGTGACTGATTTATGAGGAAATTATACCAAAGGAACCATACCTGACACATGACATAATGCATATGACTAGCATGTAAGTTCTAGCTATTCCCTGAGGTAATTTTGTCCAAAGTTAATGTTAAAGATTCATGAGCCATACAGTTAAAAGTTTTCCATTAAAAAAAATGTGGGGGTCTTTTGTTGATTATTGTCTAAGCCAGGGATTTCATTTTTAAATTTTTTTGGGGGGAGGGGTTACTGGATTTTGAACTAAGGGGCGTTCCACCACTGAGCCACATCCCCAGCCCTTTTTATTTATTTATTTATTATTTATTTATTTATTTATTTATTTATTTATTTATTTATTTTTAATTTAGAGACAGGGTCTCACTGAATTGCTTAGTGCCTCACTTTTGCTAAGGCTGGCTTTGAACTTCTGATCTTCCTACCTCAGCCTCCCAAGCCACTGGGATTATAGTCATGTGCCATCATGCCAGGCTTAAGCCAGGGATTTTAAACAGTGATAGTATTAACATTTTGAACTAGATAGTTCTTTATTGTGAGCCATGTCTTGTGCATTGTAGAATGTTTAGAAGCATCCACAGCCTCTACCCACTGTACGCCCCGGCACCCACAGCTGTGAAAAATAAAACAACAAAAAAAGTCTCTAGATATTGAAAAACATTAAAAAAAAAAGTGCAGCAAAATCCCCTTTAGTTGAGAAACACTGGTCTAAGCATGACACCCACAGCATTATATGTTATTTACTTTTTGTCTTTCAGGCTATCAAATGATCTATCCTTTATCCAAATGCACTAAATATTTCCTTCCCAGACTTTCAAACCCTTTCTATTTATTTATTTTTGTGGTAATGGGAATTGAACCCAAGGACATTTTAACACAGGGAGAGGGTCTCATTAAATTGCAGAGGTTGGCTTTGAATAAAATAAAGGTATTGTGTTCAGCTACAACTGAAAAATAAATATTAAAAAATTCGGCATTCTCACCTCTCTGTTTTTGATATGTTTGATATGTTTGTCCTTTCTCAGATTCCTGAGTAGCTGGCATTATAGGCATGTGCCACCACACCCAGCTTTATTTTTAACATAACCATGGTTGTCATCTTCTAGTGCATTCATCACTTAAAACAACAATAAAAACTGAAATTGTAAGGCCTCTGTTGATGAGGTTTGTAACAGAATTGACAGTAGCTTTGTGAGTACATCTATGGAAGTTCATAAGGTAACATGCTCATAAAATTTTCCTTGGCTATTTCCTTACTCTGGATTTCCATAAGCCATAAAAACTTCTGTTATCAACAGAAGGCATAAAAGAAAAATAAGAATGTTAATCGGAACAAAAGACGTGTGTTTTGCATCTTGGCCCAAACAAACATTTGTTTGCCTATTTTCCAAAAGACCAACTTTATGGCTCTTTCAACTTTATGGCTCTTTGAGAATAGGTGTGAATATACGGGCCTTTTCAAAATCCATATGTTATAACCTAATACCTAATGTGATGACAGGAGGAGCTGGCACTTGGAGGAATGATTGTCACGGGGATCTTGCTCTCATGAGTAGATTAGTGCGCTTATTAAAAGAGGTTGAAGGGGGCACCCTAGTGCCCTCCTAGCTCTTCCCCCTTTTGAGAACTCAGCATTCATCCACTTTTGGCCTTCCCCACTCTGCCATGTGAGGACATAGCAATAAAGCTCCATCCTGGAAGCAAAGAGTAGGCCTTCAAGTGACCCATTCTGCCAGCATTTGATCTTGGACTTCCCAACCTCTGGAACAGTGAGAAATAAACTTCTGTTCTATCAATTATCCAGCCTGCATTAGTATGGTGTAGCAGCAGGAACAGAACCACAGGTGCTCTGTCTTACTTAACTTTGTACCCCTGCAGTACCTATGTAAGGTTCTGCAACAAATATACTTGCTGAAAATTATTTTCTTCAGAGACATATAAGAAGGCAGTTAATTTTTTTCACCAAACATGAATTAAGTATTGATCATATGTCAGGTATTGTTCTAGTTACTAAGCCTTGAGGATACACCCCTGAACAAAACAAAGATTCCTGCTCTTGTGGAGCATATATTCTAGTAAGAAAATATAGCCCACAAACACTTGATACAATCAGCAAGTCCATTATGTAGCATATTAGAAATTAAGGACAGCCTGGCACAGTGATGCACACCTGTAATCCCAGCTACTGAGACAGGAGGATGGCAAGTTTGGAAACAAAATTTAAAAAGGGCTGGGGATATAGCTCAAAGGCAGAATGTTCCTGAGTTCAATCCCCAGTACCACACACACACACACACACACACACACAAAAATTAGGCATGCTAGAAACAATAAAAATAGAGCAGAGTAAGGAAAGTTATGGGATATAGTTAAAGGAGGGATGTATATATTTTCCTCCTCATATTTTTTTATTTTAGAGAGACATTTATAAATTCATATTCAAAGAGAATTGGAAATGCACTTGGATTCTTCGTATTATTTAATTTTACCAATGTTTTATACTTAGGACTTCATAAAGAAAATAGGATGACTATACCAAAGTATGTAATTATAGTTTGAGGACATTTCTCAGATTATTAGTAAGTGAAAATAATTTTCAGTAACTTGGGAGAATGACTTCTTCCTGATTAAAAATATTCTAACTGTGCCCCTTCAAAATATCAAGTGTTATCCCCATGTAGTTCTTATTTGATGGATGAATGAGAAATAAGGACTCTTTATTTGTTGGAATTTGATAAATTTCATAGGAACATTATCCTAATTATTGAGGTTTGGCACCTTCCCCTAGTAGTACCTGTATTAAGAGGAAACATCAATGTTGATGGACTAACTAATGTTTTGTTGTTGTTGTTGGTTTTGTGTGTGTGTATGTGTGTGTGTGTGTAAATTCCTCTTTATTTAAAAAATAGTTTTAATTTTCTTTTTTTATTTATTCTCTTTAGTTATATATGACAACAGAATCCATTCTGATATACTCACACAAGCATCTTATTCTAGTTTCCATTCTTATGGATGTACACAGTGGTGGGATTCACTGTGTTGTTTTCATATATGTACATGGGGAAACGATGTCAGTTTCATTCCGTTGTCTTTCCTGTTCCTATCTCCCTCTCGTCCTTCCATTCCCCATTGTCTAATCTGCTGCACTTCTTTTCTTCCCCTCCCTCTCCCCCCATTGTGGATTAGCTTCCACTTATCAGAGAAAACATTCAAGTTTGGTTTTTTGAGACTGGCTTACTTCACTTAGCATGATAGTCTCCAGATCCATCCACTTGCTGGCAAATGTCATCAAGTTTTTCTTCTTTATGGCTGAGTGTTTTAGTCAACTTTTTTGCTGCTGTGACTAAAAGATCCAACCAGAACAACTTTAGAGGAGGAAAAGTTGACTTGAGGGCTCATGGTTTCAGGGGTCTCAGTCCATAGAAGGCTGCTCCATTCCTTGGGGCTTAAGATGAAGCAGAACAACATGGCAGAATAATGTGGCAGAGTGAGGCAGCTCACATTATGATAAGAAAGCAGAGAGAGATTCTGCTGGCCAGATACAAAATATATTCCCCCAAAGCCACACTAGTAATGCCCACCTCCTCCAGCCACACCCTACCAGCCTGCAGTTGCCACTCAGTGAATCCCTATCAGGAAATTAACTCACTGATTGGGTTAAGGTTCTTACAACCCAATTATTTCTCATCTGAACCTTTTTGCATTGTGTCATACATGAGCTTTTGGGGGACACCTCACATCCAAACCATAACACTGAGTAATGTTTCATATAAATATATCCAATCATCTATTGAAGGGCACCTAGGTTGATTCCATAGTTTAGCTATTGTGAATTGAACTGCTATAAAATCGATGTAGCTGTGCACTATAGTATGCTGATT